TTGAACCTGTGAGCTCACCTAACCGTCCGAGCGTCGCTGGAATAGCCCCAAAGGCTACTAACGATTAGATAGGGAAAAAATCACTAGTTAATAATACGTTTTAAAAATATAACTGTACTAGCGACCCGCCCTCGCTTCGCTTCGGAAACATTAAAACACACATGAAACCAAAAAAATAAAATATATTTTTTTTTTTAAAAAGTAGCATATGTTCATCAGGGACAATGTCGGCTTCTAATGGAAAAATATTTTTTCAAATCGGTCCAGTAGTTTCGGAGCCTATTCGAAACAAACAAACAAACAAATCTTTCCTCTTTATAATATTAGTATAGATATTTCATAAGATTTTTCGTAATTTACATTCGCAGGCTATCGCAGACGCTAGACGCAGACCATAGATTATACACTTAATATATACGCAGACCTTGAAATAGAGAGACCGTAGTGATATAGTGGCATTATTAAAATGCTTGTTAATAATAATGGCTTTCGGTTATTGACAGAGGAGTTGTCTAAGAATTGTGCAGTTCGTTTTGATAGTTGTAAAAGCCCAATCGAGACTGGTGATGGCGACTACATGCCATTGAAGATTTCTTGGCAGATTAATGTCTTCGTGATCTTTTCCGAATGGAGTCAAAAGGAAGTAGCTGGTACTTGGAAACGATGGTCAAACCTGTGCTTTATAAAGCATAACTCGTTGTCCAGGCGTGAAGTACCGCTTTGTTCTGTTAAGTGAACCCAACTTTTTAGTTAGACATCTTAGATTTACCTGTGTTTATATGTGATTAAAATAAACATTGCCACGGTCTCACACTTGTGAAACACTTTGAAACTTACTTATAATATTCAATTTACATTGTATATTAGCAAGAACTACGTAAATAGATTACTTCTTTATTATTATAAAATAACGATCTCTGTTATCACGACTTTTATCGAGTGGACCGTTTTATTTTCATTGAATCGTTGCTCTATTTAGTTTTATTTGTGGAATATGACTCAAGCTACACACTAAAAATAGTACAGCGAAATGGTAACGTTAATTTTCTTGAAACTCATTTTATAATTCACGATTCGTGGCGTAAATAAAGGTAGAACTCGTTTTCGAATAACACTACCGATTTCCTTATGGACGACTATAAATAATTACGGTTCAATTACATATTTACAACCTATTTAGTGTTCTGTTAATGTAGTAATAATGACAAAATCTAAATTGGCCAGGTTTAGCAAAACATAGGAACAACAACGGTAGGTAGCGACTTCAAGACGGTGCCCCTGACATTGCTTACGTCCATGAGCGATGGTAGCCACTCAACATCAGGTGCTGGTCTACCTACACGGGCTATAAAAAGAAAACAATAGACATGATTTATTTTATTTTTATTTATTACACTTCATGTAAAATTTACATTGGCGGACTTAAGACATTCTATACCAGTCAACCAAAGGTAGTGCAGAGTAAATAGTGAGTGGTAGGTGCAATGAAATTTATATAAATTTACGAATTTAAATAATTACTTACAATGATTAACCTCGTTTTTATTTCATTCAGCAGTTTACAGCCATCTTATGAACGCGAAACAGAAATGTCAAAAATAAAAATGAAGCCAATGCCATGTTCCTCGATACGTCTGTGAGGCTTCAGAATTTTCAGAAATGTAATGCTGTGACCTTCTTGAAGTTCATCGATCCGTAGTAGTAAGAAGAAAATAAAAAGAGATATTTTTTTTCCTAACCAACCTAACAAATTCTTCCAAATAACCTCATTTTTTCTTGACACCGTCGATCCACCCGCGCCCGCAGCAGTATTGCTTACTATCTACGAGTTCTTATGATCATGCTTTCCACGTACCGACTGGATCAGAAATGAACTCCTCTTTTTGTGTATACAATAAAAAATAATCTCTCTCTCCGCATTATTTTCTGGTCGCTAAGAAATGTCCTCTTTCAGCCGGTCCTTTCGAAGGATTTCTCAAGGGTAGGCAGTGGCTTAACTGCGCATTGCTAGTGTGTTGGGTACTTGCATGTTTTGGTCCGTTGAGTGGCTTAACTGCTCTCGCAAAACAACTGTATTGTGAATTCGAGTTATTTTTTAATTTAAGTGGATAAATTCACATTAAGGTGTTTACGAGATCGAGTTTGCGCATAAATTCATTTTATTTTACTTTATTAAAGCTTATATTAACTAGGTATATTAAAAATAATAGTCGTTAATAAAAACCGCAACGACGTTTTGCACGTTTTGCACCAATATTAAATCAAGGCTGTGTCGATAGTGACCATAAGTATGGTAAGCTTTACTAGCAGGACATAGTGATATATTTATTAATATTAATCTATTAATCTTTGTTAACCTATGACCACAAATAATCATAAAATAAAAAAATAAATAAAAAAAGGATTTTACATGCTATACAAAAAGTGTAACACGTACTTTTTACGCTAAAAATTAATCGAATTAATAAAGGCGCGATTAAAAAGTAAGTACAATTATTTTTTAATTAAAAGAAAAATGTTATTGCGGTTGGTACCTACAACACATGTGGATTTCGTTATCATGTAAAATTAATAGTATTTTCCTTGAACCGGTGTCCTCACAATGATATACAGCTAATATTAGAAATATAACACAGTAATTGTGTGTTGAGTATTATTAGAGAAGAAATAAAGCGATAAACAAATCCAATGTCGCCTTGAAAGCGGCAATAAAGGCGGGATGCTGGTACCCGTGTTCTTGCGCACTCACAATACGAACAAGCATATGTAATTACGCAAATTTACTTTTAAATTTTGCGAATTTCATTTTTATTACACAATATCGGTTCATTGTGTTCGGTCGTTAACAGACGTTACCAGCGTATTTATTGAGAAACATTGTTTTCTTCTTGCAGATTTCAAACAATAGCATAGTTGCATTGCTTGACAGATAGGTATATTAAAAAATATATATATGTGAAGTTTTTATTAAATTACTAGGTGAGCCCCGCGATGTTACACGCGCTTATTGTCGTACTGCCGGTGACGCCGCGGGGTGAAGCTAGTCTAAAAAAAGTAGCATAAGTTACTCCTTGAATCATCAGCTACCTATTAGTGAAGGACTCGTCAAAATCGGTCCAGCCGTTCCAGAGATTAACCGGAACAAACAGACAGACAGACAAAAAGTGTTGTTTTAGTGTATGTACCGTATATATATTCATATGCATGTAGTGAAAAACGGTTATTTCAATATTACAAACAGACACTCCAATTTTATTTATATGTATAGATATAATTTTGAATTTGAATTATATTGTCTTGGCGACAGAATTGAACAAGACGGCGATACCTACTTGCCAGCAATTAATAATCACTGCCACCAGTAAAAAGTCATAGATAACACATATTATAGGTTATTAAATTTATAGTGAGAATTGAAGAGATTTAGGGGTAAGAACCGAAAAATGTCGAAATAAATCAAACTCAATAAAAATGATGCAGCACTTTCATTGTGTTTGTAGAACAATAAATACTAACAACAAGGACTTCCCGGTTGTCAATCATTGCGTATCTAATTGTCGATAAACATTAAATTTATAGTTGATTAAATTCTAATCTTTGTAATAATTTCGTAGCCTTGAAAATAAATTTTACTTCTGTGTTCGTTGGACCAAGAGTGTTAAGCAAAATAGTACATTTTCAGTTTGAGCACCTCAGGCTTGATTCCCGTGAGCTCACCTACTCGTTAGATTACGCTGGCATAGCCTCTCAAGGCTACCAGCTTAGGTAGAAAAAAACAGTTCTGGTGTTATCGATTTTTTTTATTGCCTTATAGGCAGACTAGCATACGGCCCACCTGATGGTGAGTGGTTACCGTCGCTCATGGACGTCAGCAATGCCAGGGGCAGAGCCAAGCCGCTGCCTACCGTTTAATACTCTCCACAAGTCTCGTTTGAAGAAGGACATGTCATTTGCTTACGTAAAGTTCAGTTTGAGACCCGTACGGATTAAGGAGTTGTTTAAAAAGAAATTGTTCATGATTTTCTGGTGGTAGGACGTGTTTTTAGTCCGTACTGGGAGGTACCACCATCCCGCCTATTTCTGCCGTGAAGCAGTAATGCGTTTTAGTTTAAAGGATGGAGTAGCCGTTGTAGGTACTGTAAAAATTAAGATTTTACGATTCATATCTCAAGGTGAGCGTCATAATTTACTTTGTCAATGTCTATGGACTACGGAAACCACTTAACACCAGACCGTGAGCTCGTCTACACATCTAAGCGATAAAAAAAAAGGTTTTTTGTTTAAATCGTTTGTGTGGTATACGCGAGTCATATACATAATTACAACCACGTTTAAGATTTAATTCGCGATTTTTATTGTCATTATCTTATTTCCGACATTTCGAATACTTTAGTTTTCGGGGTCACGGACGATTGACGACACCGCAGTCTGATTATATTATGTATATATTTAATAATTACGTTATTTACTACGTAACAGCGTTTAAAAATGAATCAATTTGTAAATAGACAATCAAATAAAAACAGGTTGTAAAATAATATAGGAATTAATAAAACGATTCTTTTTAATCAACACTTATCATTCGCCTACGCCCTCTATCTATCTATCGGTGATGTCATGAATCATAATGTACATTTTGTTCGGATAATTATTACGCAACTAAGTTTGACACTTAATAGTTTCTGAAAGATTTTATATTTTTGCTGCGATCCGATTTTGCTAACATATTGTGGCGTTTAAGAACGCACCTTCTTATGATGCGTAAGCCGGAACGCACGAGAGAGGGAAAAAGAAGGTAGTCTGGACACGGGACCTTTTTACCGCCGAAAATTTAAACGGACAAAAAAATAATAATGTGTATAACTTAGAACTCCTATTGTTTCAACTGTGGTGTTAATTATATACAATATGGACTCCCTCAATATGTTTTTGATATGTTCAATTAAAAAAAAAAAAAACTGAGCGAGTCCACGTTTTGCCTTCGACAGATAAACAATGAATTAGTTCATAACTGGTTTTATTACTAATTTACATTAAATTACATTTGTTACATGGAATAGAAGTGCATAAATAAACTTAAAACTAATTTGAGACTCGAAGATTTTATGATTTAGACAGAATCTCTTTCATCGCGAGCTCTATCTTCAGCTGGATGCACGCGACCCTCTCTTGAAAGATCTGGTTGATCAAATTCAGTCTTTTCTGCTCGAGCAAAGCGTTTTCTTTCATCAGCCTCTGTTTTAACTCTTGCTCGTCGACGCTGGAGTTTTCTTTGGCATCTTTGTTATTCTGTAGGTTGCATTCCTGTTTGTTTTTCAGAGCGACGTAGCTCCTCAGCTTGACAATCTCGAATTGTTCCGAATTGATCTTCGCCTGCAACAACGACTTCAGTTGCAGGTATTCAGCGTTCTCTAATTCGAGACGCAACACTTTGAGTTCTTTCTCGGTGAGCTTTGGTTTATCTGGGATGGGTTCCGTAGCTTGTGTCTCAACTGTGGTCGTTTTTTTGTCCGGCTTGAAGTCGAAGTTGTCTTCGAATTCCGCCTCGAAGGTCGCGTCTTGGTCGAGCGGCGATTCCTTGGGTTCGAACGCGTCAACTGGCCTCTCGGCTTCGCGGACTGGCTTCTCGGCTTCGCGGACTGGCCTCTCGACTTCGCGGACTGGCCTCTCGACTTCGCGGACTGGCCTCTCGACTTCGCGGACTGGCCTCTCGACTTCGCGGACTGGCCTCTCGACTTCGCGAACTGGCCTCTCGACTTCGCGGCCTGGCCTTTCGACTTCGCGGACCGGCTTCTCGGCTTCGGTCGGCTGCGAGCTCCCTCGCGTCGTCTCCTCGTCCGGTTGCTTCTCGTCTACGGATGATTGCTGCGTGGGCACTGCATTAGGCTCCGTTGACTTTTGTACCGAACGAAGTTTACGCTGCAACGAAACATCAATTATCACTCGATAATAACTATTCGTTCAATCTTACATTCTATACAATTCAAATTTTACTGATGGTAGGAGCTCTTATGAGTCTGTTCTGTCCCCGTCTATTTCTGCCGTGAAGCAGTAATGCATTTCGGCTTGAAGGGTGGGGTAGCCGTTGTAACTATACGGATACCTTAGAACTTATATCTCAAGGTGGGTGGCGCATTTACGTTGTAGATGACTATGGGCTCCAGTAACCATTTAACACCAGGTGGGCTGTGAGCTCGTCCACCCATCTAAGCAATAAATAAAAAAAAAACGAGTGTGAATTCAAATAACTTTTCAGGGCGTATTCTTTAGACGTACGATAAATACAACCTCTAACATTACCTTGAGTTGTGTTACAATTCGCTGCGCCTCCCATAGTTGTTGGTCTCTGGCGGCCGTTATGAAGCCGGCGTGCATCTCTGCGTGGATCTGACTGAGAAGAGATTCTTGTTTCCGCAGCTCCGCGCTCATCTCGGCGGCGGAGTCGGGGAAGTCGGCCGGCAGCGAGTGGAGAGGCGGCACGTATCTGTCAATACAACGAAATGAAATACGTATTTAACTAATGTGAACACGATTGACTTCCACGGTGTAGGAATAACATCTCTACTAATATATAAATCTACAGTGGCTTTTACGGATGCTCCGTTATAACTACTGAACCATGCATCCGATTGACTTGAAACTTGGTATTCATGTTGAAAATACATGTACTTAATGGATAGGCTTATTATATAGATAGGAATATTTATGTGAGTGTTGGACTCCCTAATAATAATGACAATAATTAATAATGTTATTTTTAAATGCCAAGCGAAGCGGGAGAGTACAAAATTATAATTTGCGTAATCACTGGTGGCAGGACCTCTTGCGAGTCCGCCCACGTAGGCACCATCACTCTGGCTATTTCTGCCGTGAAGCCGTAATGTGTTTCGGTTTTAAGGGCGGGACAGCCGTTGTAACTATACTAAGACCTTAGAACTCACATCTCAAGGTGGGTGGCAGCATTTACGTTGTAGATGTCTATGAGCTCCTAGCCTCTGAGAACAGCGAGGCGATTGTGTTTCGTAGCGCGAAACATTTATTGGAAACTGAAACATCAATTTATTGACACTAATCGTGCGCCATCTGTCCTAAGCTGAATGATGGGTTAAAGAAAATAGTTTTTTTTTTTATAAATAAATTAGTTTTTTTTTTACTTAAACTGGTGGACGAGCTCACAGCCCACCTGGTGTTAAGTGGTTACTGGAGCCCATAGACATCTACAACGTAAAAGGAATAACCTTCACCGTGGAAGTCAATCGTGTTACATTTGTTACATTTGAACAATTGTTAAGTACGTATTTCAATAGATAAACTGGTACCCGCCTGCGGGATTCGAACACCTGTGCATCGCTACATACGAATGCACCGGACGTCTTATCCTTTGGGCCAGACGACTTAAATAATAACTTACTTCGTGAGTCGGACGTTAGGGAACAGTTTTTCCGATTTCGTTACGAGGTAAGTCAGCAGATTGAGTGACATATTCAAAGCCGCTCCCATAGCTGCCATTATCGTTTGTATGTTCGCTTGATTCACCTGTGAATATTAAATTGATTATATTTAGATTTCTTTTTTTTTATTGCTCCTGAAAGCAGACGTACAAATGCCCACCTGGTACAATGGTTACCATCGCCCAGGGACTTCAGAAATAGCAGAGGCAAAGCCAATCTGTTGTCTACCGATAGCGTTGAATCTTGTTATGTTATCTAACTGTATGTATTTACAAGATGTCCAATCACTGGTAAGGATAATTCGAGGTCTATAAAGAATGAATGTGCCCTAACAACGTATACACTTACTAAAACTATAAATTTGGTTAAATTGTGAATTAATAAATTTTTTTCATTGATGGTAGGATAGTGGGTCTATTTTCTTTTCGCTAAATGGTATGGTTTTTTGACACCCTATATTTTTTATCTTGACATAGATTAAATGAGTTGGACCGTAAGCTTGCTTGCTCATCTATAGCCATAAAATACTTTTTTGGATTCTAATATTCGCCTAAAGATTGAAATTCGACCATAATAACTGATACTTCAAAATTCAGATTCACTTTTAATTATCACATTTTCTCTTTTTCTATAACTTTTTATTGATAATACTTAATCTCGTCAATAGTTAATAGACAAAAGAAAATAGTAATTAGCTGATTTATTTTCTCTTATATTATACAAATCAAATCAAGAAAATTTTATACAGATTCTTTGAACGATTGATTCACAAACTATAGCCAAAGTTGAGATTCCAAGTAAAGACGAATTCCTATGGAAAACATTTTTGAATAAGATCTGAGAGAAATCTGACCTTAAAGTAAGGCTGTAATATCGCCACAAACACAAAAGATAAGAATTAATATTGTTACGCTGGTAAGAGTAAAGCCATCTATCGCCGAATAGTCGAACGAATACAGAAGGATCTAATAGCACCCGGAATGCTCGAGAATTACAACGCCGTCTATTTTCAAATAGCGGAAATTACGACTAGAGATGTGTAGAAAATTCTCGATAATTCTAGGGATGAGGTATCGGGTATAAAAGCGTTGTAGAGATGGCACGCAGTCAGTCAGTAATCGGAACTACTCGAAGCGAAACAGCGAAGGATCACCTGAAGCGAAGCAGAACAAGCGAATTGAGAGTTTTAAAGTGTTTGTTGAGTGTTTTAAAGTGTTTGTGAAGTGTTAAAGTATTGAATACAGTTTTAAGTTGTACTTTAGTGAAATTTTTATTTATCCCGAACCCCAGCGCGTAACAATATTTACATGGCTTATTTACAACAAAATATACAAAAAAGATTCGTATCACTAACAGAATAAGCAAAAACAAATTTAACTTAATTTAATCGGTTAGAAGAACAAAGGTGCCAAATGCAAGTTGAGTCACAAACCTGCTCGTTGGAGACAACGTGATGGAAATGTCTCATCAGCCAAGCCAGCAGATTGTGGTTACAGTTCGGCAGCTTATTGATGAGGTTCGTCATCGTCGCTTCCCGCTGAGGTTCGGCTATAGCGGTGGCTTGTTCGAACTGTCCGTGCAGCTCTTGTGTTAGTATCGATTCCGGGAGTTCACTGCGATGTGGAGATTCGTATATATAAACGTACATTAAATCGTTATATTGATAAACAGTCAAACTTTTATTTGTGACGAAATAGCGTCAGATTTTAATTACCTATAACTATTATACTAATTATATGTGAACAATTATTGAGATCGCAACGAATTTGTCATGTTTCTACGAATCTTAGCACAGTCATAATTATTTACGTGACGTTTTTATTATTTTAATAAATGAATTGTGTAAAGATATTTAGATAATTTATTAATTTTGATATTATAATTAAGAGATTGGTAGTAGTGGGGCGTATAGGGAGGCTGCCGCATGGGCGTTACTATCGTTATCGTGCTTATCTTGGCTGCTAAATAGTTTTCTTCTTCTTTATATTTTGGCTCCGGCACGGTTTGTGCAATTAGCAAGTAATAAGATTTTTATAATTCGCCGTTTTAATTATTTACAGTTTTGAATACTAAAAAACGAAGGAAACCCAAATTAATCACCTCAGATGAAATTAAATGAAATGAGATGAGATGATATGGGATGAAATATAATCTCAGTAAAATGGTGGTTATTTACAGAGACTTTTCCAGTTGACTTTTTGGAGGATCCCGAGAAGCTACGTCTAGCGACTTTGTCACATTTTCTCACATTTGTGCACTTTCACAAATATTAAACAGTTAATAAACCACCGTTATTACACATTTAAACCTGAAGAAACATTAAATAGACAAAATAAAACAATTCACACAGCTTCGCTCTTCGCGTTTCCGCCAAAAAGTCTGCTAAATAGTCGAGTTGTCATTCAATTCAAAAGAGACCTTAACCTCATATCTTAAAGTGGGTGGCGCCATTCACAGTAAGACATCTATCGTTTCCGTCTATTGTAGTGTTTAGGCAATTAAAAAATAAGAGTATATTGGTATCGAATACTCTGCCGATAGGTAGATATATGCCATATATGCCAAGTGCCAAGTCATGTTGAAAGACATGCCGAGTTTCACGATACCATTTCGAGGTGACAGACGAGACTATCATAGTTTGAACAGACGTTTGCCAGTTGGAATATTAAAAAGTATTACGGTTAATTACCTGATGAAAGCTTTGAGCATAGCGCAAGCGACAGGAACGTCCCAGTGATACGGGAATGTAGGCCCTCGATCCGTGAACAGCTTCCTCAGTTGTTGAAACTTTATCTTATCCGGTTCGGTCCGGTATATATCTTTAGATTTTAATCCGTGTGCCTAGAATATAAATATCATATTTTTGATGATGTAATCCTATTTAACATGTAGTCGTAACTAGAACTATCTGAGAATAGATTAATCCGCCTAATTGCTGAAATGCGCTAACGACATTTTCAAGTTCCGAAAAACAAGATGTAGTCGTCAGTATTTTTTCTTTCCTTATAATTCAAAGTGCGAACCATATCATATATTAACTATCTTTTTTTTATCTACCTAAGCTGATGGTCTAGAGAGATCATAACAGCGTCTCCGGGCTGTTTTTTCTTTCCTTATAATTCAAAGTGCGAACCATATCATATATTAACTATCTTTTTTTTTATCTACCTAAGCTGATGGTCTAGAGAGATCATAACAGCGTCACCGGGCTGGTAGGTGAACTTATAGGGCTCAAACCTGACGATGTTGCTAACATTTTAGAGGAAATTTCGAATGTCGTTTATAAGCATCTTATTTGGCCCAAATATTTCTCTTCCTTATATAAATTGTGAGTGCAGAATTATTCAATACAGATTTAGAAAGTAGACTATATATAATAGAACACCATCATATATTAAAAACATTTTTAATAGCAACCATCATGATTTGTAACTACGATAAGATTGTTTTATTATACGTTGGATTCACGAAGCGTATATTAGGTATACCTGTAAGTAATCGATGCTGTCTCGGACGACCAGCGGCAGACCGGTGTCGTCATGGCAACGAGAGCGCTCCACAGACTGTTGCAGTGGTACACCGAATATAGGGAGCGCAACTGAAAAAAAAATGACAATTTTTTTTTTTGCTTAGATGGGTGGACGAGGAGCCGTTGTAACTATACTTGAGACCCTAGAACTTATAATCTCAAGGTGGGTGGCGCATTTACGTTGTTGATGTCTATGGGCTCCAGTAACCAAAATTACGTTGAAAGTTTCCGTTGCATAGACAAAATACCCCATCCTCACGGATCGTTTGGAACCTCTGGGTCTGCGGAGGAACTTCGGTTCCCTCTGTATTTTGTACCGTATGTTCCATGGGGAGTGCTCTGCGGAGTTGTTCGAGATGATACCGGCATCTCGTTTTTACCATCGCACCGCCCGCCACCGGAGTAGAGTTCATCCATACTACCTGGAGCCACTGCGGTCATCCACAGTGCGTTACCAGAGGTCTTTTTTGCCACGTACCATCCGGCTATGGAATGAGCTCCCCTCCACGGTGTTTCCCGAGCGCTATGACATGTCCTTCTTCAAACGAGGCTTGTGGAGAGTATTAAGCGGTAGGCAGCGGCTTGGCTCTGCCCCTGGCACATTGCTGAAGTCCACGGGCGACGGTAACCACTCACCATCGGGTGGGCCGTTAGCTCGTCTGCCTACAAGGGCAATAAAAAAAAATACAAGTCAAGCTAATAAAAGCGCAATTATAGGATACCTATTATTTCCAAGGTAAAACAATCTATGTAACTTTGTGTAAATAAACTACTTTTACGATAAGAATGGAAAACTTTTATCTCCGAATTTGTGCATCTTAATATTCTTTATGTATTTTACTTATCAGCATAACATAGCCTTGCCGAAATGTTGACTAAACAAGAATTAATTCGTACAACTTTTGTCGTACTAAGCTCGTCGTAAAACCATTAAAAAAAAAACAGCAAAAAAAAAACATATGTTATTCCAATAAATTAAAATGTTTTCTTTCATATATCCCAAAACATCTCAGCAGAAATAGTTAAATAACTTTACATCGGCGAATGAACTAAATTTATGACAATTTTTAATAATACCTAAAACAAAATACTCAATTATGTCGATCGATATCAAATAATATAGTGTTCGAACTAAATAATCTTATCAATTCATTAAGCTCACTAAGAGTAGCTAGTATACACAGAAGTAGTATACATAGTAGTAATACATAGAAATGTTACGCTTACCGTCTATTAAAAATCCGTTGGCAAAAGGATTCATTGTTTCGACGGTAATGTTAATAAAACAAAAGAATAAAACGAAACATCGTCATTACTGAACGCGATAGCAAAATAGACTAACTAAATAAAAAAATAAAAAAAGGTTACAGCGTTTACTAAACACCACGGAACAATTTAAATTTTATTCTGCGTTATCGTACACGCCCTCAAATTATTTGCACAGATAATACATTATCAGAGTTACATGAAACGTTTTTTGGTATGTATAATAGTTTTTCTCTCACACTCATGTTTGTAAGTGTTAGTTTAAATAAATAGCACGTTTTTATGCAAAATTTTCGTTGTACTATAAAGACTTGCAAACTGCGGCTTCCGCATGCCAAATCGATTCATTAATTTAATAAACACAATAAAAAATATGCTTTTTAATAAATGCTATTTTTCTAAAATGGAATAGAGAGCATGTGCATATGAAATAAGTTCGCACTTAGTTATTTTTATCTCCATTCGGTCATAATTTTGTATGGGAAAATAAAAATGAACCAAGTCATAATGTTCGAAATAAATAATTGATATTGACTACTAAAGTTCATAGTTAATTTCAATAATGCCGAAAAAAAAACCACCACCCTGCCTATTTCTGCCGTGAAGTAGTAATGCGTTTCTGTTTGAAGGATGGGACAGCCGTTGTAACTATACTGAGACCTTAGAACTCATATCTCAAAGTTGGGTGGCGGCATTTACGTTGTTGATGTCTATGGGCTCCAGTAACAACACCAGGTGGGCTGTGAGCTCATCCATCTATCTAAGCAATAAAAACGAAAAACATTTTTTTTACGAATATTGATTGCTCTCAAACATAAGTACGAACTAACGATAGGTCATTAGTGAAACATGGAGTAGACGAGGAAAAATATGCAAAATTTTCCGACATCCGATAAGACAAAGTATTTTTGTATTTTTACCCGAATTAGGACTGACTGACTGACGTCCAAAAAAAGTAAAAAATATATATCAAAAAAAAAAAATCTTTACACTCAATAGAACATTCTAGTATTATTGATTTCGTTATTATGTTTCATTAGTAATCATATAAAACTAAAATAGATATCTATTTGCATGGCTAATAAATGAACAATGACATGTTCTATGCCGATTTATACGAACTGTAAAGTCGAAGTCTTGACGACATTGTAGTAGATCAGTGCCACGCATATGTCAGAAATAGGCAAGATGGCGGTACCTACTCGTGCAAATTTCCACCCAAAAAACCAGCAGAAATTGGTATAACGATTAAAATTACCGATCTCACTTGATACATTTTAACCAAACAAAACAACTTATTTTATTACCATAGATTAATATTTAGTGTTCTTAGCAAAAGTATAATCGCAACACCATTCGTGCAGGCGTTACGAATTGCGTACATTGAGCGACTGTAAACGTTTCGAATCGCGTTACCGTGAAACGACTTCTCATAATGGAACCTACAATGGTACGTTTAAACATAATTTACAAAGGTTTTTTTATTTATTGGAACTGCTCCGTTTTGAAACATGTATGTGCAATAAGAGAGCAAAGTTGTTTTTTGTTTCGAGTGCAGTGGGCTTAGTGCGAGTTTTTTAACGTTCTCGATAGCGTAAAAGTTAACTCATATTTGTATGGAATGGGATCGTTTACTCGCTACGCTTGTGAATCAATCATAGAATCTTTCGCTTGCTCGGGACTCAAAATCAGTGTGCTTAGTGCGAGTTTTTTTAACGTTCTCGATGGCGTAAATGTTAGCCCAATTTTGTATGTAGTTGGAACAGCGCTCCTAGCGGCAAACGTAGGCAAACGATTCCATTCCATACAAATATGAGCTAACTTTTACGCTATCGAGAACGCTAAAAAACTCGCACTAAGCACACTGATTTTGAGTCCCGAGCAAGCGAAGGATTCAAAGTTAGAATCCTGAGCGTAGTGAGGGACTCAACAGCACGAGATGCAAAAAAACTTTGCTCTCGTGTAACACACATAACTTTTCACCTCAGCAATGAGAACACGTATTACTTAGGAGACATAGAAATTAACAGGAATAGATTGAAGTAGCTATTTTAAAAAAAACGTAATTTATTTATTACAAATATCTTTAAATATTAGGGTATATCGGCGTTTCCAAACGTGTTTTTTTTTTGTGGTCGAATTCCAACATCGAATTTCGGAGGGGTTTGTTTTTTTCAATCCCTTTTTTATATGCATGTGAAAGAGACAGAGCACAGTACAATTCGAATACTTTAAATTTATGGCTGAACAATGTCAATTCGTGGCACTGAAGATTGAAAAATTAAAAAGCTACTTTGACCCACGCTCGAAACAAAATCGCATTTTGTTCATTTTTGTCTCGCAGCAACAGCGGCATGTTTGAGCCGCTGAGGTGAAAATATTATTTACTAGTTGTTACCACCGGCAGCTTCGTTAAATGGAAATATTAAGAGTAGTTTACCGTGGGAATTGATGTTTTTCGGGATAAAGAGTAGTTAGTATATGGTACTCTTATAACTAAACTCACTTTAAAAAAGACATGTCATTCCATTATTCAACGTGAAAGAACGACAAACAAATACACAAACACACTTTCACATTTATTTTAGTTTAGAACAAAAAGGTTCCTACCTCCCAATGTGAAAATTTCTTCAAAAGGAACACCAGATGTCACCGTTGACGGTATTTTCGTCAATTTCTTGTCTTTTTTATCTTTGTCTTTTTCCTTCACCTTTTCTTTCTCTTTCTCTTTGGACTTTTCCTTATCTTTGTCCTTTACCTTTTCTTTTTTCTCGTCCTTAAGTTTTTCTCTAGATTCAAATTTGAATTTGGCCTTCTCTTCTTTTTCCTGGAAAATTAAATCATTTCTCCTTGTACGTCTCTTTCGAGTTGCGATTGTTACTAACAAAGGTTTGAAGATTTATTCTTCATTGTTGGTACGTATGAAATAAAGCTATATGCATATATTGTGGTTCTACTTTCGCTATAAATTTCATTTAATTGATGCCGCTGCGAACATGCAAGCGAAGATAATATCTGTTACATCAGTTGTATTGTATTGATTCGTCTTTATTTAACCTACCATTCTTTATTATTAGTTAAGTTATAAATAACAAGACCATAAACTAGGGATAGTCTATTCCAAGCTAGTCCTCGTGATAATGTTACTCATAAAGTATCTATACTAATATTTGTTTGTTTGTTTGTTTGTATTGAATAGGCTCCGAAACTACTGAACCGATTTGAAAAATTCTTTCATTGTTTGGAAGCTACACTATTCCCGAGTGACAAAGGCTTTTTTGAAAAAAAAATAGGGATCGTTACTAAAACTCCAATAATGTAACCCAAGGGGTAAAAAAATTATCTAAAATATTCTTTACATCGCGTGCCCTGCGAAAAATATTGATGATAGAATAAAATAATGTAACTACGACTTTGTAGAACACATTATTATTTACAAAATGCCGCAATAAGTGTTCTTTTGTTTAAAAAAATAAAACAACGTAAAATATCGTTGAAATTTTTGTTTAAGACCGAGTGGAGCCGGAGCGGTCCGCTAGTCGGCCGAAAGTCGTTAAAACTTTTGGACGTAAATACCACAGAACGGGAGATATCGAAATTTGATTTATGTACTAATTGCTTTAGGTATTAAGATCATAGTTATTATATACTTCACGAAACAGTAAGGTGAAATTAATGTATTTTCAGTTTTCTGCGTACCGTGCGTAAAGATATTAATCACACTTCGAAGATTAGAACTATATTTACATACATATCGACGCTTGAAAGGCAAACGTGACTAAGCGGCATTGCGTGAACTTTACAGTAGACTAATTTAAAGTTGAAAATTATTTAAAATATACCTGAAAAAAATTCTATTTTAACGAATCTAGCTGTAGGATTGAAATGATTTTAATAGACCTAGAAATATATATTTTTTTGCGCATCGAATATGGTTATTGCCTATCATTTATGTACAAAGCAGCTATTGTCGCTTAGTCACGTTTGCATTTCAAGCGTCGATTTGTATGTTTGTATAGATACGACGTTTTGTAAACTGTAAACAACAGATAAATATGTACACAACATATACAAGATACAAGGCGAGATAAAAGAAATTCTTCAATCAAGGTTTAGCTCATTTATCTAAGCCGCGACAGTCTTCACATATACGCGTTTTACGTTCAACTAAATAGTACATAATCATATAAACGTTAAATAGGTGACCTAGTTTGGTCTGGATTAACATCTGGTTCTGACATACGCAAATCTCACCTAAAATAAATAACTTGGTCTGTTACTGGATTGGGTTGTCGACGGCCTATATTTAAACGCACACGCGACTCAATTGCATTTTGCGTCCTCATCGATCGCGAGATCGCGGATTCGAGACGAGACACATATCGTTATGCCATTCGATTTCACTGAAAATCAAGTCTGGTAATGTGGACCTAACGTTTTTTTTAATTTTTTTTATTGCCCTTGTAGGCAGACAAGCATACGGCCCACCTGATGGTGAGTGGTTACCGTCGCCCATGGACTTCAGCAATGCCAGGGGCAGAGCCAAGCCGCTGCCTACCGCTTAATACTCTCCACAAGCCTCTTTTAAAGAAGGACATGTCATAGCGCTCAGGAAACACCGTGGAGGGGGGCTCATTCCATAGCCGGGTGGTACGTGGCAAAAAAGACCTCTGGAAACGCACTGTCGATGAACGCAGCGGTTCCAGATGATATGGATGAACTCTGCTCCGATGGCGGGAGGTGCGATGATAAAAAGGAGATGAGGGGATCATCTCAAACTGACGTGCATATAATATTAACAAAGACGACGTTTGGAGCCTGTTGGGAGTCGTCAGTAGATGAAAGTAGAGTAGTTTGAAAGATATTTGCAATTTCGCCAAAATGGAAACACGAACACATATTATGTACTATACCCAGCAAAGGTACACGGACAGATTCAAACCAAAATGGAAAAAGAGAAACGGCGTGTTCAAGCGAATATAGACCTTAAGGTGGTGTCCATGCACCTGTGCAGTCGCCTGTACATATATCAAACAAAATTAAATGCATTTCTTTCGGTGTTGGTTTTCTACTTGTTATTTTTTTTAATTTAATTCAATAACCAGAAATGATTTTCATTTACTTGAGTGAGCGTAGCTTTACGAAATAATTGCGAAATATTATTTGTTGTTGCAAACAAAATTCTGAAGTCACATTATGATGACATACATTAAAACACCGGACATTAGACTAAATATATATCTTGTTTTTTTAAAACTTGTTTGTTCACTGATTATCTTGTGTTACGATAAAATAAAATGCAGGTAACTACACAAATTTTCCGCGGATATTGTTCTAGGACACAAATCGAAAACATTACCGATATTTAATTAACTGTGCAATATTTTTAACACTGATCTTAATTAAATTTAAGTTTTTAAGTAGGGAGGTACTACACATGTTTCACTTTCAAACACCAATGACGCATTTTAAAAATTTTTCAATAAATGCACCGACAGCTGATTAATAAATTCATTTTAATGTCTGTTTACGTTTTCATTTTTATTCATTTTATGTAGCACTAATTTCGATATCTTTATTAGAATATTAAAAACATGAAGTAAATAAAAAATTATTAAAATTTCCGCGTAACACACAAAAGTTTGTTTAACAATCGATTTTGTACCTTCGTAAACACGCTACGTAGGTGATGCATGACGCGATTTCAAGATACAACTGAATAAACCATGACACGACCACATCCATCCAAGGCCGAACACCTACAACCTTTATAATTTTCATAGACCCACGTGTACTAATGACGGTCTCGCTAACCAAGTGTCAACGCAAATTGGCCAGCGTATAAAGCCAACCGCAAAATTATGCAAAAAGGTATCAAGCGCTGAAGCGCGAAAATGAAACATTTAGTATTGAGTAAATAAGATTGAATATTTGAATAACAAATAAAGTGAATGGTACTCTCAATATAAAGTCATTTCATATTGTACAATTAAATATACATTTTTTTTTTAAAGTCGGATAATTATGAGTTTATTATCCCTTTTGGCAATAAGGTGGTAACGAATTATTTTAGAGTAATCAGTCACGGTATTTCGTTGCATGTTGCAAATATAAAGGATTATTAGAAATCAGAAGTGAAAGAGGTTTTTTTAAAAATAAGAAAATGATACTCTAAGGATGATTTATCAGAACGAAAAACAATTACGACAACTAGGAATTAATTAATCACGACACCACAATAATTAGCACTGGATTACACGTCCGTTGCATTCGAGCGCCCGCAGCCAAGTGACCGACGATCTAAAACGGCCGGCTAGCCTGGCGCGATGACGTGACTCTCGCCCCACCGCCTGACGTCACTGAGTAGAGGGGCCGGGTAGTGACAAATTCTCTAACACGGCCTCTCCTGACAGCTGAACGGCCTCGTCAGCTTGGTTCCCCTCAGGCTGGTCTCCCTCGACCACCCCAACCTGGTCTTCCTGCTCCTCTTTAACAAGATCACCATGGGACTCATTCTCATTGGATAAGTGCCCATCGTGTTCAACGTCATTTAAAACAGAAAACTCTTAGTAAGCTGCTCAATGTCTGTTCTTGCTATTATTAGCAGTCACCCACTCCAACCAGACCACAAGTGTGCACTTCAAGTGATCATATCAGAATAGGCGGCCACCAATATCCGTATACGTTAGGCACATACGGTATAGAAAAACGCTTAAAGTTAATTGTTTCGCCAATGAATGAGTCCGGATTCTCAGACACTGAGTAAACAATCACTTGCGTCATTGTCAATTGCCAAATGCCAACAAACATTGAAACATAACCGTTAGCATTACCATCCAATAACCACTATCGGGGTTTTTAGAGGGCAATATCAACTACGAAGCGTTGCCACAATGTCGGGGCAGAACAACAGCCACAATGTCGGGGCATTGCCACAATGTCGAGGCAGAACAACAGCCACAATGTCGGGGCATTGCCACAATGTCGGAGCAAAACAACAGCCACAATGTCGGGGCATTGCCACAATGTCGGGGCAGAACAACAGCCACAATGTCGGGGCATTGCCACAATGTCGAGGCAGAACAACAGCCACAATGTCGGGGCATTGCCACAATGTCGGGGCAGAACAACAGCCACAATGTCGGGGCACTGCCACAATGTCGGGGCAAAACAACAGCCACAATGTCGGGGCGCTGCCACAATGTCGGGGCACTGCCACAATGTCGGGGCAAAACAACTGCCACAATGTCGGGGCAAAACAACAGCCACAATGTCGGGGCAAAACAACAGCCACAATGTCGGGGCAAAACAACAGCCACAATGTCGGGGCAAAACAACAGCCACAATGTCGGGGCAAAACAACAGCCACAATGTCGGGGCAAAACAACAGCCACAATGTCGGGGCATTGCCACAATGTCGGGGCAAAACAACAGCCAGCGGCACGCGAGCAGTGCGCGCAGTCTGCACGCCAAAAGTAGGCAGCGGCACGCCAGCAGTGCGCGCATTGCAAGGTGCTGATCAGTAGGGGCGCCACCAGCAGGCCCTCTGCGCCTCTGCGCGCCTCGGCCGGCACGCACCACCACTGCCTCTGGAGACCACTCACCACGCCAGGGCACCATGTGTGGCGGGCGTCCCGCTCGACCGTACTGACCGGATCGTAGTAAACCGAAAAACTGAACCATAACAATCATTGACAACACAAGGTCAAAACACAATAATCAGAAACTATAACAACTCATATCGTATAAAACGTTCTTGGCCTGGCTGTCTGCGCAGCTAGTGTCATTTATGCCACCCATAACATTACTACAAATGATAAAACCAATACACATCACTTCACAATATAGAGTCAGCGACTCCCAGGTCATTACTAGACCAACACAACAATAGTCTCCTTTGAGACCAAGGTATCCGCTATACCACCAGAAGCTGCAGGGCAGATATGTGTTGTCTTGCGTTTTGTGATGTTCAGAATGAGCTGTAATCTCAAAAGTTCAATTGACCATTTTGCCAACACAGTCCCGTCTACTTGTTTGATATTACGCGTCACTGTTGACAACTAGTGCCCGAACCCTACAAGGACTCTGCCTAACCTGACCTCCAAAAATGAAATCAAATCGTGAGTAGATTAGCGTTCGCGGCTTTAACCTGAGGGCCCATTATGCCCCGTATCACTATTAAAGTTCCAAGTTCTATCAGAAGTAACCCATTCACCTAGCCACACCTTTGCGTTTCCCCTTAAGCAATTTGCCACACGTGACAGAGTCTCATGGTCGGTCCACCCGTTTAAATCCTTTGCACGGTCCACCTCCTCGTACCACGGCTCGATATTGATACAAAATAATTCTGTGATCTTATAAGCTGGACTGCCTTTACGGCATCGATAATCGCTTGAGCAAGCGAGGGGGTCTCTGAACCGCGCAGGGCTGAGTCCGACATACGTCCCCAGTCCGCGAGGCTAGATGCTACAGGCACTGTCGAGCTCGCACAATTACTTTCAATCCTAGGTTTCTTGGGACAATGAATTTGCTTATGGCCTACTTTCCCGCACGTATAGCAAGTCAATCGATCGTATTTAACATCACGCTTACGTGAATTGAACGTGCTAGTGTTTAGTGGGCAAACAGGATTGCTAGGAGCAGGTGCACCCTTAGGTTTTACACATATACCGACAAAAATTCGACCAAATTCTTTGACTGCAGCTTAGCGTTGACCGTCGCCGCTTTTACTTGAGGATCGGAAATGCCTCGAATCACTATGGCGGTTTTTAATTCGTCCGAAAGCCCCTTGACGATGTTTAAACGTAAAAGAGACTTTCGTGCGTACTCTGCATACGTGGTGAATTTGTTGGAGTTTGTGCTCATTACGTCATAAAGGACAGTGGCCATATCAACCTCACGTGGACACAACGATCTAAACTCTGCTTTAAAATTTGTCCACGAGCGGTCTCCGGTCACCCACTCGTCTAACCAAGTTTTAGCATCACCACGTAAACAACCACCAATTCGCCGTAGGCATTCGCGATCGTCCCAACGATTTAATTCGCGAGCTCGATCTACTTCCGTACACCACGCGTCAAATTCATGGACACTAGGGTCAAAGTTTGAGATGTAATAATGCTTAGATCTTACTTGAAGCAATGAAGAAAGCGCACCAACAATCCTGTCCGCCGTGCCAACGCTCGCATCACGCAGCGCCTTGGAAGCTTGGCCCGTTCCGTGCGTCTCCGCATCAGCCACGGACACCTCGTTGGCCCCCGAAGCCGACGTCGGAGTGCGCCCTCCAGCGCTCGGATGCAGTAACGGAGTCGACGTTAATGGTGTCGTAACCGGCAACCGGCCCTCGATGATGCGGAAGCGTGCGAAAGATCTTGTTAGGACCGCGCCTCTCGAAAGTTCGGCAGGGCAGCCGTCCCAGCTCCAGTCTGCTCCCACGATGTGAGGCTGCACCATGTGTGGCGGGCGTCCCGCTCGACCGTCCTGATAGATAATCCAAAGGCATCATAGCCCCAACGAGTGAAGCAGCAGGCCGCAGATCGAGCGACATCGCCCTCTGCATTACTGCCAGTCGTACGGCACCGTGAAGTTGGCGGCTCGCGAGCATCACGTGCAGTGTGCACACGAGCAGTACGTGCGGTATGCACGCCAGAAACAGGCGAGCGCGCGCAGGCAGCGGCACGCGAGCAACACGCGCAGTCTGCACGCAAGAAGTGAGAGCGCGCGCAGTATGCACGTCTGAAGCAGGCGAGCGCGCGCAGCCAGCGGCACGCGAGCAACACGTGCAGTATGCACGCCAAAAGTAGATGGGCGCGCGTAGGCAACGGCACGTCGCTTGCGTGCTACTGCCGCAGGAACCATTGAGGGGCCCGAGCTGGCGACAATGCCCGTGAGGCACCATCCTCACCATTGGGTAAGGTCCACGGATTGAGAAAAGTATGAAAGCATCAAAGTAAGCAGTAATTGTAAAACAAAACAAAGTTCAGAGTTTTACTCTACTGTGGGCTATTTGAGTCATTTATCCCACTTCTGATATTAGAAATCAGAAGTGAAAGAGGTTTTTTTAAAAATAAGAAAATGATACTCTAAGGATGATTTATCAGAACGAAAAACAATTACGACAACTAGGAATTAATTAATCACGACACCACAATAATTAGCACTGGATTACACGTCCGTTGCATTCGAGCGCCCGCAGCCAAGTGACCGACGATCTAAAACGGCCGGCTAGCCTGGCGCGATGACGTGACTCTCGCCCCACCGCCTGACGTGACTGAGTAGAGGGGCCGGGTAGTGACAAATTCTCTAACAGGATATTATTTAGCCATTTTGTGCAGATCGAAGACTAGTTTAAAATCAAGGCAGAATTCGAAGGTCAGCGGTTTGCCTGTGTACCTGATGTTGATAAGTCAATGTGGGACGCTAAAAACTACGCATAATGTGAGCTTCTTGGCAAATTAAAGAGGGTTAATATTAAAATTTTGTAGATTTGTTTCATTTTTATGCGTTCACAAACATTAATCCATTTTAGTTGAAACATAATACAATCATTGACAATTCAGGGAAATTTCTGTTTGTACCATCAAGGTCTATTCTGTTTGATGCAATGGCTGTAAATCAGTAGCGTGGATAATATCTACTGATATCATTAACCTGCACTACTACTGTATCTTAAATAGATTGGAATAAAAATATAAATAACTGAGCTATTCATGTCTTTTTCACTTCTTTTTCGATATGAATATTCACTAAGTTTTCTTCTAATACTGACAACATGTCCTTCTTCATGGTTGACGAGGGTCCTGAGTGGAACGCCATTGAGCCAGCGTGATTACTCACGAGGAAGTTAGCTGTATGAGTCTGCCTCGGAGGGCAAAAAACAAAATAAGTGGTCCATGTCAACTAATGTTTGACAGTCATGTTACGCTTATAGAAAGAGTATTAAAAGCGTTTCTGGAAGTTGTCATGGTGATGGTCAAGTCATGGTTGGAAGGGTCAAACAGCATTATTACCATGTATTAAAACCATATTGTTACGCATTAAAATTTATATTATTACCTTATCTTTTTCCTTCTTTTTCTCCTTTTCCTTCTTCTCTTTCTCCCTTTCCTTTTCTTTTTTCTTATCTTTTTCTGTTACTTCTTTATGTTTAACTGTTTCTTCTAAAACTTTTTCTTTATCTCGGGATTTTTCACGCTTTTCCTTGCTTTTGGTTGGGAACTTGAATGACTTTGTCTTCTTAGATTTTGATGGACTTCTGTTGGATTAAATAGATATCATAAATATACACGCAGAATATCTATACAGAACGAATGCTCTGTTATTGTTATATTATTAACAATTTTATGGTTAATATAAATAGTTATTTAAGTTGACGTCCCATATCTTGTTGACTGGTTAACGGAGCCTGTGGTAATGAAGATGATGTGGCTTTCCAAGGTCTTTCAATATATTGTGCAACTCAGGGGGCTTTTCCATCAACAATTTATTAAAAGATGATAATTAAACATATAGTATGGAGTATCACTGACCAGGCCTAGCAATCAGGCCATTGATGTCATAAGAAGACTTTAATTAAGTATTTTACTACAGTTTGTTATGCATGTATATGTGTATTCGTGACAATTTTTACCATAGTCAATAACTTATGTCATAATACAGTAATCCCCTTATAACACATACTTAAAATGCATTTTCATATAAGGTGATTTCAGTCTCTCTCATGACACGGGTATTCCAGCATATAACCTGGGGATTTCACATATTATATTTCAGTCCTGTGAAATTTATAATAATAATAATAAATAAATTACATTTATATTTATCATACAAATATCTTCCCTTGGCGGGATTCAAACCCGCGATCCCCTTGTGTAGTGACCATGTCACTTACCACTACACCAGACGGCCATTCTATGATATTAATAGGTAATTTGTCTGATCTGATTTTGTTGCTAATTATTTTTTAAACTTGTATAATTCAAAGAAAATATTTTATAAGTATACTAGCATAGTTATATTGTCTGCTACATGTCCCTTTTTGTTTGTCATATGATTCATTACATCATAATTAATTTCAAGTACCATTGCACTTTTTTTTTTATTGCATAGAAATGTAGACAAGCTCAAAGCCCACCTGGTGTTTTGTGCTTTACTGCTTAACGGCAGATATAACCAGGCTGGTGGTACCTATCCGTGCAAACTCACAAGAGGTTCTACCACCTGTAATAAGTGTGTCAATTGTGTTGTTACAAAATAAAGTATAATTTGTTTATTAAATTTGTGTTCCTAGTTTTAGAATTGTAAAAACATTGGTTATATTGTATTGTATTTCTATGTATATTAAATTTGTACATAACATGTTATATGTGGTCATACAAGTGCATTATGCGAGAATTATATTACTTGTGGTAGGACCTCTTGTGAGCCCGCACGGGTAGGTACCACTGCCCTGCCTATTTCTGCCGTGAAGCAGTAATGGGTTTCGGTTTGAAGGGTAGGGCAGCCGTTGTAACTATACTGAGATCTAAGAACTTATATCTCAAGGTGGGTGGCGCATTTACGTTGTAAATGTCTATGGGCTCCAGTAACCACTTAACACCAGGTGGGCTGTGAGATCGTCCGCCCACCTAAGCAAAAAAAAAAAGGATTCTCCTACAAAGACGATGAAGCACAGTCAAACATTGACTTTTTTATTTTCTACAGATTTAAACAAATCATATTATCACAGCCCACCTGTTGACTATTTAACTTTTTAGACACTACAAGATATTGCTGCACACATTTACTCATAAAATCAATCTAATCTTAAAAAGTATATTACTCGGGAACTACTGGAGTATATAGATAAGGAAGGATAAGGAATTTGGCAGCATTAGTAACAAGGTATGCACTGGCATTTTGTCATTAGATTCTTGAAGCTGTTCATATTATTCTAATGTGTTTTATTTGTTTGAAACCAGGACTTCACAACTGAGTGTGAAAATTGAATTTTAAGTTACATTTCTAATGCACTAACTTAGTATCAGTGTCTTCTTCAGGTGAACTCTCTCCTTCCAGTGCTGCATAACCTCTATCTTTTTTAGATTCTTTCTTCTCTTTCCTGCGTCCTAGCAAGTCTTTCTTACTTGGTTTTTCGTGTTCTGCACCATCGCTAACTATAATTTAAAAAATAAATATGTATCAACAAGTTTCGATTATTCGCAATTTAATAAAACCGACTAAAAGAAATAGACACTTATGTTAACGAGTTAAAGATTTTTACCTTGTTATTGTAAAAATATCCTTTTCATTTGATTTAGTTTAAAAACTTCGTAATAGTAGGGATTTGTGCTTCACAATTTTGGGTAAATTGTGTACAAAAACAGATAATACTTACAGTCACTTTCATTGCTTTTACGTCCACTTTCTGAAGCGTATAAACCGGGGAAATCCTTTTCAACATCTGGACTTTCAAAATCCATTTTTATTGGTATGTCACTTTGTTTTAATAAGTCGTTTATTTGTACATATTTTCGTTTATTATTATATTTTTATAAATTATTACAAAATACCAATATATAATACACTACACTTATGTGTATAATCTATGCACTACACAAACACATATTTTCGTTTATTTTGTTCAGTTCGACAGGTAAAGGGAACGTAGCCCACACAGTCTCAAGGAAGTAATGTAACCATTAAAATAATATTATCTTCTTAGAACTTCTCAGGTTTTTTAAACAGAGAGAAAGTAAGTTATATAGAAATTAACCCGTCTTAAATAAAATAATGTAAATCTTAAATATTCAGTGTATTATCCATGCACTGTACCTAAACATACCTGATAAAATGTTTGAACAATGGTATTTTCGGTAACAAACTTAACAGAGCAGCGTAAAATAATATTTTAACTTCCGTCTTAGAATTTATCCTTATAATCTTATCAAATAGTTACGAGTGTCGAATAAATCGATCTTTTTTTTCCTACCTAAGCTGAGAGCCTTGAGAGGCTATATCGGCGTAACCTTAACTAGCAGATGAGCTTACGGGGCTCAAACCTGACGACTTGCTAACACGAACCCTAGCAAGAGCCGTGCATCGCAGAATCTACCACCGGATCGGAAACGCAACCCACTGAGAAGATCCGGCGAGAAATTTTTTATGAAGTCGTCGTGGCCTAAAGGATAAGACGTGCAGTGCATTCGTATCGAGCGATGCACTGGTGTTCGAATCTCGCTGGCGGGTACCAATTTTTCTAATGAAATACGTACTCAACAAATGTTCACGATTGACTTCCACGGTGAAGGAATAACATCGTGCAATAAAAATCAAACCCGCAAAATTATAATTTGCGTAATTACTGGTGGTAGGACCTCTTGTGAGTCCGCACGGGTAAGTAACCACCGCCCCGCCTATTTCTGCCGTGAAGCAGTAATGCGTTTCGGTTTGAAGGGTGGGGCAGCCGTTGTGACTATACTGACACCTTATGGCCCAAGAGCCCGCGACAGCCAGACCTTCGTTATTTTATAAAAGCTGAAAATTTCTCTGTGTATGTCTCCAACACAGGTAAGAACGACCCGCGATTATAGAGTTTCGATTGTGGTTACTTGGGCAGGTAACAGGCAGTAAAGGTATATAAAATAGTACCTTAAATTCGTTAAAGTATAAAGGTTTTTTTTTTAAATATTTACTCCAGAATATCTTTAGAAATCATGATATCCGTTGCCGGACACTTTTTCCAGTNGACCATTCGGGAAGTATACCCTTTCGAACAAAAAAAGAAAAAAGAATTATCAGAATTGGTTCAAGCATTCTCGAGAAATCGGTGAACATACATAGATAAAAAATTATGGTCGAATTGATAACTTCCTCGTTTGAAGTCGGTTAAAAAGCGTGATTTTGGTACTTTAAATAGCTCTTTAACATTTTCTATTATTCAAAAATATTTTCACTTTCTACTTAAATGAAGAGGCGGGTATAATTTAGCGTTATGCCAAAGTAACTACTCCACGCTAACGAAGTCGCGGGCAAAAGCTAGTATTCACATGCAATTGATGCGTGTTGCAATTGATGCGATTGGGCAAGTTACCTTTGCTCTCATGTGCGAAAAAACGAAAAGATCAAATTGACATTAAGTTTTACGTGTCTAAATAATGCTCTAAATTGTTTTCTGATAAAATTTAATTTTAAACACAGCTTACTTATACAGTATTATGGATTTTATAAACAATACAAAATTTACTTATTAAACACACTACAGTTGTGATCGTCATGACTGTTTATGTTCTTCATAAATTATCACTAAAAACGAGACGTGTAAAACTGCGCAAAATTTGGGTACATAAATCTCGATCAGTCTCTGTTTTGTAATTAAAAATATAATAATTATGTAATCATCGCTTCGAATTAAGATTATTCATAATTTACTGTGCAGAAAAATTTTCAGGCTTTCAAAAAATAAATTAAAATGGCTTGGTTTGCGGACTTAGCTGGAAAAGCTGAGACACTTCTTAATAATTTAGACGAGCAAACAGGAGCAGCCCTACGCAATCACAATGTTGTGAAGGCACGTAAACAAGAAAACTCCGATTTTATCTTACATCCAGACCCTTCCTGGAACCAAAGAAAAAGGCCAATACCACGAAATTTAAAGAAAATTTCACCCGTTCCTGAGCCACGTTCAAATTACACTCCTGCACGAAAGATTTCTCCTGTACAGAATTTGAATAAATCTCCTGTAAAAGGCAATCAAGAGCCAGTAAGAAATGGAGTTGTAAAAACGAAGAAACCCTTAAAAAAATCTAACCAGTATACCTTGGACAACTGTCCTGATACATTAGTCTGTGATACTAAAGGAAGCAATACTGACCATTTTGGCTTGAGGCAAAGAAGTAAGTAGCTTAAATTAGTTAACATTGGTTGCAAGTTTTTGTAATTGAAAATAGTTGGAGATGCTGGTGACAATAAAACAAATTTAAATTTTTTTTTTCTTATTTTTTATAGGTTAGGTTGGTGCACGGATTCACGTTACACCTGGTGTTAAGTGATTACAGGAGCCCATAGACATCTACAATGTAAATGCTGCCACCCACCTTGAAACATGAGTTCTAAGGTCTCACACTTTTAATGGTACAATGGCTGCCCTGACCTTCAAACCAAAATGCATTACTGCTTCTTGGCAGAAATAGGCAGGGTGGTGGTACCTACACTTGCGGCCACAAGACGTTCTACCACCAGTAAACAATGGATGATCTTCCACAGAGTGGGTGATATTGCTTGGTAGACTGGTGGTCTAAATTGAACTAACAGTTTTGTTTAAGAATGGTTGTGCATTAAAATCAGGCAAAAATTGATATAGGAAGCTACTTTATTAATCCCATCAAGACTAGAATTCATAGCATTTGTCCATGTTAATTAGACAAAGTATTTTTTTCTTGTTTCTTAGTGTTTAAAAATATTGATTAACTGTTTCATATTTGCTGTTTAATATTTTTTAAATCAGCATAAGTCATAAGCTCCATACGTGTTAGAAAAATACATAATAGGCCTTCACAATAAATGAAACATTAATTACTTAAAGAATTTGGTAAAAAAGTCATAAAGAAGTCATGGTTTCTGCTTCTAATTATATTTACACCAATGCATATAATGTATTGATTTAGTATTGAGCTAAAGATAGTATATCTGCAATATTATGATTATTTCTTTTTCATAAACTATAAACCCAATTAAAACATTGTCCTCAGGACATAGTTTGCCAGTTGACCTAGAAATAGTAAGTGATGAAGAATGGACGTACAGAATGCAAAATTTGGAAGTTGAAAATGTGATGTTGAAAAATGAACTCAATGTGTTGAATAGAGAAGTCGCAGATTTGCTTGAGAAACTCCGCAAAACACAGGATGGTAATAAAGTAGAGAAAGTAGCTAATGGTCATGCAGGTATTTCAATTTAAACAGCTTCATATTAATTGTTTTATGTTCAACAAAGTGTGGAATAATTTTTTTTTTTTTGCATTAATTGGAAATTGTGTATGTATGCTTTGTAGTCAATTATTTGAATTATAGAGAGTTATAAGTCTTAAATTGGTAAAATCTGTAACTTTAATTTATAATAAATTTATGAAATTGATTTGTTTGTGAAATAAATATGCTTATTTCTCAATATTCTTTTATAAATTGATATACAGTATTACTAATTATTGTTTGTAGAATAGCATAATTAAGTGATGTGTTATAGTTTTGAAGACTGGTTGTGAAATTTATTAATTCTGGTGACATATGCCATATGTCGTTCTTATCCATATACTCGTAAATTAAAACCTGTCTTAATTTACAGAATTCAATAGTATACAAACTGAAATTAAATTGGCTAAGCAAGAAAATAATGATGTTAGTTCTGAAAAAGATTCATTGAGAGCTCAACTGGAACAGATAAAGCGAAAAGTGGATGATTTGGTGAACATTGAAGTTGTTAATCATAAAGAGAGGATTCGGGTTTTGGAAAATGAGCTGTGTGCGCAAAAGGATCAAAATACTGAATTAGAAGATAGGTCTGAATCAATTATCAAATTTGGTATAGAAGTAAAAGTTTATATTCAGGGGAAAATGTTTGTTTTCATTTTATAATTCATAGGCAAGTTCATGACTGACCTGGTGTTAAGTGGTTTCCAGATTCTATAGATATTTATTCATTTATAACTTGATATACTTGACAGTATAAAGGCGGACTTAATGCCATAGGCATTCTCTGACAGTCTATCTTAGGGGAGTGCTGAGATGAACCTTGGTAGTTGTAGTGTTATTGTGATATTAGGTATTTAAACATATGTATACATATATATAACATACATAATATTTATACAAATACTCGTACTTAATACATATACCTACATAATTATATACATATAAAAAAAGGGTGTGTGTACTTATGTACGCGCGTAAGAAGTTATACTTTATTTTTATTAAATTTGTTTCTTTTTTTTTAAATATTAAATAATTAATATTTAACGTTAATAATTTAATAATATTTTATTATATTAAATTATTTTATATTAAATAATAAAATTTTATATTAATTATATATTAAACTAGCAAACCCGGCGAACTCCGTTTCGCCACCAGATGGCTTCGTTTTATGTAACATTCGTTTGGTGATTAAAAGATGAAGAATTTTTTTTTTTTTGTTTTATATTTGAAAAGGAAAAAAAAATTCATTTCACAACAGTAATGAATTCATTTCGATTACAAAAATGAAGTGTTATTTGGTTGAACTTCTCTAAGTAAATGAAAGTGAATCCAAAGTAAATACTGAATCGAAGCGTTATACGTGTCTTTGGTAAACCACATTTTTTGTTTTTTGTTCTGACGTTAACACAAACAAAGCGGATGGTTTCCCAACTGGTGAACACGCAACGTATAACTGCCCATGTGAAAAACAATGATTTTCTAAATTTATCCCGCAAAC